GTCCTCTGAAACACGAGTCGCAGAGACCTCTACTTCAAACTGTGGGTATCAGGAACTGCGCCCCAGCAGGGTGAAAGCTGACTGATACAGTGGTAGAGAGACATAAAAAGGTGAGAGTCGCTGTCCTTGACTTGGGTCAAAAATCTCAGAAATCTTTGGAACTACTGGACTTAATTTCTATAAGCTAATCTCTCCTTTTTAAGGCAAAGGAAAAAAAAAAAAGGTTTGCTTTCCCTAGTCCTCTGATTTAAGACCTTTCTTTTTATTTCTTATTAGTGAATATACAATTTAACTTCCTCTTGAGTAAAATAAACACCTGTGTCTGCTGTGGCCTGATTTCCACAATCGGAACATCATCTCCTAGTGCTTGTCCACCTTCCTTTGCTTTCAGAGCAACTCAATCACTCCCAAATGCTGTACAGGGCTAGACCTGATGCTTTTATTAGCATGAATTGATTCTTCCTCTTCTCTGCATAATCTCCATAGCAACTGGCTTCTTTAAAAACTTACTCATAAAGTCCAAAGATATCGTATCTCTTAACTGAACAGAACATTCTGAATAGAATTAGTACAGGAATATAAGCTCATTTCATTACCATGACTTTGACTGTTTTGGTAAAATGAAACAAAAAAGAAACAGTTGTCAACTTAGCCAGATAGAATTTATTGCTTATTCTGAGGTGTAAGTTATTAAGGAATGTATATAATTCTAAAAAATGCTGTCATACCCATTTTATTTTACTTCAGGTTAGTTTTTACTTGCTTTTCTTTTATATTTTAGATAGTCTTGTTGTGTAGTTCATGCTGGCCCTGGGCTCTCTCACAAGTGCTGGGATCACAGGTATGTGCTGCCACTCTGGCAAGTCACACCCTTTGTGTGTGTACAGAATCCAACTCAGGACCTTGTGCTTGCTGGGCAGACACTGTGCCACTGAGTGATAGCCCCAGCTATCCCACCCATTTTAAACAGCAGCAGCTTTTCACTTACTCAGTATTTACAAGAATAGTAAGAACTGTATGGAAAAAGAATCTAGAAGGGCAGAAATTAGCCCATCTTTAACACCAATAGCCAATTTTCATTCCCATGTTATTCAGTGAAAAATTAGGACAATAAACACCTTCCAAAGAGATCAGGTTTATAGCAAAAGTGTATCTGGGTACCCCGCTGCTCACTGTTTATTTAAGCCTGCTCACACTTTAACAGAACACTGGTATGGAAGGCTTTCTACACCAAACTTGCTAAAAGCTACAATGCTCTACAGCATATATTGAAACCACCTGTCCAGTGTACGTATGCTTCATTCTGTAAAACGTACCTGGCCATTGTTGACCTGGGAGGTATGTCTGTAACTGCAAGTATGAGAGGATTAAACCATCATACTCAAGCATGCTCCTGAAACCAAGGCATCTGAAAGAGCAGTAGGAATAATGTAGAACTTTGCTTTCATAACAATATGCTCTCATTTTAATGTATTTAATTCTGTAGAACCACAGTTATGGAGAGCTCAATAATGCCACCAATGAAGTTTGTAAAATAATACCTTCATGCAGCAAGTACTTCTGTCTGCTAGCTAGAGCAGTGGTGGCATCATGGCTGTACTTTAGTATCACAAGGCTACACTCCAAACAGCCCAGAGTGTAGCGAAGTACAGGCCTCGATGGGAAGCACTGTATTGTGTTACATTACTGATATAATCTTGCTGTCATGCTATGCTATCCATAGCTTAAAAACAATAAAGACTACTACACAAAAAAGAGAAATATGCTTGAGTCTATGAAAGAAAATCCAAGTAAATATGAAACTAGAATTGTCCCCCTCCACTTGCTATCATGTGGGACCAACCAAATGAAGTATGTAATTCAACAGTTTAACTATAAAATAGCCCTCCCATCACTTTCAGTTGATGGAAAAAATGAAATTAGAACTGGGCCCTCAAAGACAAAACTTGAAAGAGAAAGAATTAGAACTTCTCTCCAGTATTGTTGTGGAGAGAAGGCAGCACGAACAATTACATGGAGAGTAAATCTGGAATTACTGGACAGTGAGTAGAGTGGTTTGGCTAGTGTAAATTGAGACATACAATACAGGGCTAAAAAGCAGAGAGATGGCTCAGTGGTCTAAGCGCCCGCCTTGTCAGTGCAAGGACTCAAGTTCAAGTCCATTCTGGCCCCAGACACTATTTGGCCACAAAACCACCTGTAATCCCAGGGAGGATCACTGAGTCCAAGCTGTATAGCAAGACCTCATATCCAATAAAAAAAAAAAAAAATAGTATACCTACCGTTAGTCTTTTCCCCTTTCTCCACTTCCCAACTGCACTTTCAGCTAGTGATCTTTAAAATGACAATCCCACCATATAATTTTAAAATGGTATCATTCTTCTGTTTGCAACAGTCCAACGGCTTTACCCTAACTTTCAGATAAAATCCTACCAGCCTTACACACGGCCTTTACACTCTGGCCCTAGCTTACCTCTCCAGTCTCATCACTTATACAAGACTTGAAACGTCCTTCACTCCTCCCTCCCTGCCCCTTTCTGTTTATCAGGAAAACTTATACCTCATCTTGAAGTCTCTGCTCAGATGTCACTTCCTCAAACCAGGCTCTCAAAACTCCTCAAATCCAGATTAGGTTTCCTGCCACGCTTATCTCTATTGGACAGTTCTTAGGACCTGGAGCCTCATCTGTGGCTTATCATGAGAGGAAAGGTTTCTCCAGCACCCAAAAGTGCCAAGAACATAAGCGATACCAAAAACATTTGATAAAGAAAGAGAACAGTAGCAGAAAAACAGGAGTATAAATCAATCGTACAGGAGTAAGATGTAGGCATAAATCCAGTGACAGAAAAAGTGATGATGTAGGGGAGCACAAGAGAAAGCAAGCTGAATGGAAAGTCAAGCAAGCTGAATTCTGACTGAGTTCCCACAATCTGGTACATATAATTAATTAGGTCCACAGTCTCCAAAGCCTGGCTGATCATCAGAAATGTTTTCCGTTGGTTTTCAAGTGTTTCCATTTCCTCTGGTCATTCTGACGTAATTCACTGATGTGTATATCCTGCCTGCAAGGTCATTCCAGCACCACTATTCTGATTTAAACAAGATACCTATGATTAAGTAGTTGAAAGAACCTGCTAAGTAACTTCATGTAAGAACTGAAGACACCTACCACACTATTTAGATTTTTGGGTTAGAGGCCTAAAATCATCATTGCGTACAACAGGTAGACACTTGGTTAAGGAATGAGAGATGCAAAAACAAGGGGTACATACTGTGATTTAAAAAATACATCTGATGTTGGGCCTGACTTTTCCACCTGTCACTCAAAGCAATTCTTTTCTCTGGGTCTGTTCTAGCAGAACCCCCAGCATGGCTGTTTGGCTATTCCCTCTCTTCTTTGAGGAATAGCATCCCATTTTTCTTTAAAGAACTGTTCTCTCTACTATATACAGTCTTTCTGTGGTTGCAAAATGTATTCTATCCTAAACTAAGACAAAAGGAGACTTTGTCCTTGACTTTGAAAACTTTAAATTTTCGTAAGTATAGAAATCAGCTGGTGTTTCACCCATTCGTGCAGCGGCATTAAGTTTATTCCTGCCTTCCAAAACCATGGGCTGTCCTTGCTTCTGTCTTTTGAACACAGCCTTGTTTTCAGTCTTCTTGTAAATTCAACTAACTACCCAGCATCCTTTTCTAACGAAACTTTAATTTTTAAAGTAAGTCATTTTAAAAAAAAAAAGTAAGTCATTTCATTATCTGGTGTTTGCAAACAAATGAACAAAAACTAATATTTAATTCTGTACTATAAAAAAGAAGGGAAGGGGGAGAGAGGAGTAGAGAGAAAGAGGCAGAAACCATAGTCACACATGGAACCACATTTGAAAAGTAAATAGAAACACATGAATTCATTTTAATATTGTTTTATTTCAAAGATAACATCCAAACTATTATCTCAACATATAATCAGAAATGTAGTGTATATTTTATACGTCAACTACATTTCAACTCAGATGCTAAATTTGTAAAGGTAAAAAGTAAAATGTGGTATTTCCAAAACAACAAAGCTACGTATACAGAAAATATTTTGTAGTTACTTTAAAATTTAAATTAGGTAACATTAAATACCAGTTGCTAAGATGTACGCATCACATTTCAAGTGCTCAGCAGCTACATTTGACCAGCGCCTGCTGTACTGTGCTGCTGCAGGAGAGAAACAAGTCAGGAACTTTTTCTTTCTTCACGGATCCAGCAGTTGACAGGAATGGAAAGGAAGCTTTCACACTTTCAATGAATTCTCTCACAGAATGACTAACTGTGGGAAGACCTATTCAAAATATTTCTTCCTTCAATGTTTCCTTGGCTATGTAACTACAGCAGGTCAATGTTATTGAATATGTCACCTATCCTGTGTTCTGTAATTCAGTAGCACAGAAAGATAAAGGCGTTATCGTCCCTGTGAGGGAGTTGTAATTCAAAGTTAAAATTATTATTGTTATTGTTGGTGGTGGTGTTATTATTACTTGGCTTTTTGAGACAGGATCTTGCCACGTAACTCAGACAGGACTTGAATGTACTACGTATCCCAGACTGACTTTGAAGTCACAGCGATTCTCCAGCCTCAGCCTCCCACGTGCTGGGACTACAGGTGTGCACCACCACACGCTGCTACACTATTGCTTCCAAATCAATTTTCATTTATTATATTTTGAGAGGTAAAAAAAACTTCACAGATTCATTTTAAGTATTTCCACTGTCAAATAAAAATAGAATTTTAAGTGGTAGGTTAAAGACTTTGGCCCTTACCCCTCAAACAGTAACAGCTATTGTAAATTTTGTTGTTTTTTTTTCCTTAAATTGCAGTTTTTATTTTTGTGGACTAAGCCTAGACCTCATTGAGTTCTTGTGTTCTCTCTCTCTCTCTCTCTCTCTCTCTCTCTCTCTCTCTCTCATTTTAATTAATTTTATTGAGAAAGAAATAGCAATGAGACAGTTTCAAAACAGGTTAGTAGGACAGCTACAATAACTAATATATTGCATACTGTTGTCTTCGTAGCAGTTATTCATAGTTCAAGATTTTATAAACTTTGGATGCATGGAGTGACATGATACTATCAACATTCAGGAAACAGTAAAAATCCTGTGAGCAAGTAGATTGGTAAAACTGAGGATCTACGCTTTGGTAAAATATGGAACTTTTACCATCCTTAGCTGGGTGTATATATGCTCTTGTTTCTGCCAGGAGCACTGTTTTCCTTTTCTTGCGCTAGAAAGACGCATGCTCATCTTCAAGAGTCACTTCATTTCCTGGGTGCAGGTGGCAGGCTGTCGCTTCTTCACCTTTGCTTCCACAGCATTTCTCACAAAACACTGAATAAGGTCAATTATAGAACCAGAAAGTAAAATAGCGGCAGTGTGGGGCTGAGGCATTATTCTGTAAAGGGCAGAGCCCCAGTTTGCAAAACAGATGGATGGTGGAAAAAGCAGTACAACGGGGAAACGGCCAGGTCTTTGCCCAGCCTCACTCCTCTCCCTGCAGGTCTCCCGTTAAATGTCGCACTCAGGAAGCACCTCTTTTCCAGACATGATGGTTTAGGTACCCTAGCTGTATCATCTCATGAACCTCACACTTTTCTTACAGGACCCTCATCACAAACGCAATCTAAATCTAAGTAACTAGTATGTTAGTTTACTAGGGCCACCACAAAAAAACCTACAGACTGCATCACTTATATTTATTTTTTCACAGTTAAGAGCAGGGTGTTGGTAAGTTTAACTTCTGCTAAGGCCTCCCTCCTTGGCTTGCTGATAGCCTTTCCTTTACATACACACCTCTTGTGCCTGCTTATTCAAAATGTCTCTTCCTATATGGGCCCTGGGATTAGACAGGCAGTCTGCAGTAAAGCACTTGTCTAGCATAGATGGGGTCCTGGTTTTGATTCCCAGAAAGAAAGAAAAAAACAAAAAGGACACCAGACATACTAGCTTAGTATTCACCCTACAGGCCTCCCTTTAACTTAATTGCATCCTTAAAGGCTCTATCTCCAACCAAATACAGTCATATTCTGAGGTACGGGGGCATAGGATTTCACTACCTGAATTTTAAAGGACATCGTTCAGACTACATCTAGTCAATGTGTATTGTATCCACTGAGAAACCTCTAGGAAACAGGGACTTCCATCTCGTTGTCATTTCAGCACCTGTATAGTCTCCACACCCTCCTCTACCTCCAAATCCTCATACAACACAATCATGTCAACAATGAAGCCTTAGCGTTATCATCTGACAAGGTCCATCCTGGACTACCTTATCTAAAGTAACCCTGTAACTCACTCTATCACGTCACTGTCCCTTCTTCCACAGCACTCACCACTTACATAGGTCTGCAGCGTCAGGTCCGAGGTGGGTCACGTGTGCTTAGGCACTCCTGCACTCCAGTGTCCACTCATAGTCACCAGTGAGTGGGTTTCTTTAAGCACGTGGCACACTGTAATGTCCTTCCTTCCTGAGGAAAAACTGTAAGGCTTTCAGTATACAAAATGCTTTTCAATCTCTGCCTTCACACTAATTCAGCACTAATTTTAAAGGACATCGTTCACCCTTCCTATACCTCAGGTTCCCAAATACATGACGCCAAAGCCTTCTTCAGTTTTTATAAGGTATGGAGCTGGCAATTTTGACAAATAGCACATGCTATTATTTGTGGAACTTTCACCGGCCTTAGCGGGGTGTATATATGCTCTTACTTCTGCCAGGAACGCTGTTTTCCTTTTCTTAGGCTACAAATACATATGCTAGCAGGCTGGTGTTTCCAAACTGCAGAGCCTGTGAATTCGGAGCGCAATGAACAATAAAGCTGCCCTCTTTTACATGTTTTTTCAAGTCTTTAGCTTAAAACAAGGTCCTCTTATGTCTTTGACACCCACCCCTGCCTACAGCTCCGGCTATTTCTTGCTTATTTTCCTATTTAACATTTAAACACGAAGACACACAAAACAGTGCCTAGGTGCATCTGCCAATCTCATACTGTGCGTGCAGCGCTGCGTTTCAGGGCCCCACGGACGCCAGCCCGGCTTTAGAGCCTCCTGCCTTGCTCCATGAGGGCGGTTAAGGGTCAGGAGCGCCGCACGTGTAAGGCGAACGTGGGATTTGCAGAGCCGCCCACGGCAAACACCGGGCTAAAGGAGGGGCCTAGGAGGACGCCGAGGCTGGAAAGCCCTGGAAGGTCCCCTCTCCCCACCCCCGCGCCCCAGCGAGGCGGGAAGGCGGAGCGCGGGGTCCCGGAAATGGAAGGTGCCCGCGCCCTGCTGCAGCCCCGCAGGACGTCCTCTGGCCGGCAGCACGCCTTACCCCGGCCACCGCGAGAGACCAGCGCTCCCAGAGGCGCAGAGACCGCAAGCACCAAGGCCTGAGGCACAGGGGCGGAGCCGCGGGGCGGGGAGACGCACGGTACGCGTGACGTCACGCTCCGCACGCAGCAGCGCGCGTGCGCAGCGGTCTGCGCGGAACACGGCCGCTGTCTGGAGCCAGCATGGCGGCGGAGCGCAAGACCAAGTTGTCCAAGAACTTGCTACGCATGAAGGTGCGGGTATTCTAGTAGAGCCCGACCGCGTGACAGGGTCCCTAGGGACCTCCGAATCTGTCTGGGGCCCAGGCGGTGGAATACGCGTGGTGGGGACGGAGGGACCAGAGAGGTCCTGCAAGGCCGCCGTTTCTCGCGTTCATTCATTCACTGCGTGTCTGTCGGCCCGCCTTTAGGCGCCCGGAGCCAGAGTGTGAATTAGGAGCCTGCAGACGCGCAGGCAGGCGGTAGAGAGACAGCGAGTCGAGTGCAGCGACGGTGGAGAGTCGGGCCGCTGGGGATGTTCTAGGGCCTGCTGCGGGAAGCGGACCTGTTAAGTAGGGACTGAGCCTAAGTGGGAGGGTGGCAGGCGTAGCGTCCTGAGGAAAAGCGAACCCAGAAGTCCGAGAGGGAGGGAGAAAGCAAACCATGCAGACTGCCAAGAGCTAAAGACGCCTGAGCAGTGTGTGGAAGGCACAGCAAGAAGAGGGAGTGCGAGCCCAGATGAAGGGTGGTTTTCGTTTGCTATGAGCGATAGGAAGTACGGAGGAGCGTGGGTAACCATCTCATTAGCCGTATTACCTACTGTCCAAGATTAACTATCCTAGGGAGAATGCATCAATAGGAAAAGGGGCAGACAAGGCACAAAAGGGTAGGCTGATGAGCTATCGTTTGTGACAATCTTGGGCAGCGCTGTGGTTGAGATGAGAATGGAGGAGATTGTCACAGTTGAGCGAAAGTGAGTTGTCACCCAACTTTAAACAAAATAAGAGTTTTAAGGGTGAGCCTGAAGCAATTTGATTATGATTTCAAAGAGGAAGAAAAAAGACAAGCGTAGATAAAGTGAACATAGGAATTAAAGCAGGGCCGCCACTAAACGTTAATGGCTGGATAATACAAATAGGAAATATGCACAGCTCTTGTGAGATACTGTTCTAAGTGTTTTGTGTCTAATAACCTACACAATTCATATTTATTGACAGCTGAGGCAACTGAAGCAGAAGTGACAGTTGACCAAAGTTACCCAACTTAATTCCTACTCTGATCTTAATTACTATGCTCTATGCCTGTCGCTGAACACTGTAGGACAACAACAACATAAAAATGCACTCAACACACCCATCCTACTGAACGTCATATTTTATCCACGCTACTTTGTCCTGGCATTGCAGAGCTGACTGGGAATTGTGGCTCTGCCGTATTCCTCAGCATCACCAGACAGAATCATACTGCTCATGGCTAGCCCAGAAAAAAAATCAAAATTTGAACTGGTTCTCCTGCTGTCATACAGTTGACAATTCCTAAGTCAAACTATTTTAATTTGGAGGTCATCTGTACTTGTAGAGAAATAAAACTCAATTTCTTGTTTAGAGAGTGGTGGAATTTCCACAAAGCAGGTTTAAGTCATGGTTTCAGTGTTGGGGGATAAACTGTAAAATTTGAATGCACTTGACCTAGGCTGTAGCTAGGAATGAGTAGAATGTGTGGAGAGGGCAAATTGTAGCATACTGTAGTTTGTAAAGTTATTTTTTATGCATATAAAAAAGAAAAAGGTGTTCACTGAAGAGAAGTTTTTTTGTTTTATAGTCGCATTGGTTTCAGAGAAGTAGAGTAATTTGGCCCTGTAAGCATTAAAGTTTTTAGAATAAGACAAAAGAAGATATATGCTACATGATTAGGGCTTAGATTGAAGATTGGAGACTGGAATTGGGAAGGAAAAGATGTATTTAAAACAGTCCATCCGCACCCAAGGGGAAAGATTCATCTGGATATTAGCAGCAAAGGAGAGTAAGAAAACTTCAGGTTCTCTTTGGGTTGACAGCGTCAGTCACTGAGTTGAACAGTGGGCTCGCTGGAGATGGGATATACAGAGAGAATGAGGCTCATAGGAAAGACAGCAGCTGCTCTTGCAGCGTTGTGTGCAGTGTGTTCACCCAGAGCTAAGAGTAGGACTGATGGGAGAGCACTGAGCCCTGCCCCTGACTCGCTTTCAGGGCTCTTGAACTCCACTGACGTCATCAGCTGTTAAGGGGCCAGGTTGGTCTTGATGAGAAGAAGAACGGATGTAATAAGACAAGTGTAGATAAATCTACCACACTGGTGGTAAGCTCACCAGTGTGGTAGATTGGCTGTAGAGAAGGTGCCTTTGATTTTAGTATCTTTTGGCCCCCTAAGATAGGACTGCTGTCTGTATACCATAAAGAATATCTGCTTGACTAGAAAACGGGAAGTAAATGGGCAGTGGAACAGGATAAGAGTCTTACCACCGAGAATATGAGTGGTGAAATAAACCATATGTATTTATTTTTTTAATTTTTTTTTAATTGTTTTATTTATTTGAGAGAGTGTGGTGTGTGTGTGGCCAGCTCAGCCCACCAGGGGGCGGGGCTGGCTGGCATGTGGTGCTAGGGGATCGAACCGCGGTCCCTGGGTTTGCCAAGCTTGTTCCAAGTTGGTGCTTTAGACCACTGAGCCATCTCTCCAGCCCAAACCATATGTATTTAGAGAGAACAGTATAAGAAAGCATCTGAAAAAAGACAAAACTAGGTCATTCGTGCTCAGAAGACCCTGTATTGGGCTTTTTTGTATCCAGGCACAGCGTCGCTACTAGTAATACAAGGCAAACAACAGCACTGGCACTAATTTTTTTTTTTTTTTTTTTTTTTTTTGTCTTGACAGTTCATGCAAAGAGGACTGGACTCAGAAACCAAGAAACAGCTAGAAGAGGAAGAAAAGAAGATCATTAGTGAAGAGCATTGGTACTTGGATTTACCAGAGCTTAAAGAGAAGGAGTAGGTTAAGCACTTACGCCAGTGATGCTTGTCACAGAGGGGATCCCTGTAGGTTGTACTCATCCCAATGATGTAAAATAGTTTCTGTTCAGTTTCTTGAGTTTTTTGCACATGGTTTTCTAAAAACTGTTAAGCTATAAAAATTATACAGGAATTTAATACATTTGTAGTGGCACCAGACTATCATTTATATAACACCATCCTTTTTTCAACAATGAATAAAGGGATTTAGGCTGTGCGTCTCTGATAGAGCCAGGGCTTTTATGGGAAGCTATAGTATGCCGTCATGAGAAATTCCAAAGATCAGGTGCATGCTTCAGGCTGTTCCAGTTTTGTTTCAGTAATGGAGTTCTTCATTAGGCTGAGCTTCTTAAGGCAGATTGGGGGCTTTTGTTTCTTTTCTCTTTCAATTGTTAAAAGTGAAACCATTCCCTTAGTAAACTTTTACTGAGTCTGCAGTGTGTTCCGGGCACTGCACTATCCCCGGGCATCTTTTAGTTATTGAACTCTCAGAGCAGACTGCTCACTGTCATTCTGTGCTGGATCTTCGCAAGAGGTAACTGGCCCAGAGCCGCCCAGTTTAGTCAGTGAGTCAGTGCTGAAGCTGGGAATAGCTCACCAGACGGTTCGCATCAACCTTTAAGCCTGGCTTGTGCTTGAGGAACAATTGTGAATGAAGAAGTACGGGATTCCCATCACCCATTGGGCTGAATGCTTCTGGAAGTGGTATATGATTCTACTCTTGTCAAATGACTGGAGATACTGCTTACTTTTGAGGGAACATGTATATCTTTCTGTTTTTCCCCAATAGTTTGTTTTTTTATTTACTATAATAAGTTCCTTTATTATTTTTGTGACCTTCCCTGCACGTCTTCAGAAGTGTAGGTACCCGTCTGTAACTGCAGAGAGTGTGTCCCATCCGGAATGAGTAGGAGAGGGACTTTCTTCCTCTACATCTCAGACGGAGGGTGAGAAGGTGGTACCAGAGGCAGAATGGGGCACGCCAGGGCAGGAAAGCATCAGGACTGGGCAGGAGCTGTAGTTTAATTTTGTGTCTTCATTGGAATTGTACCAAGTCATCCAGATGTTTACTGAAGTACAGGACAGGTTCTGGTTTTTTTCCAGTACTTTTTTTTCCTTCCCCAAATGGCATATTGCTCCTGAAAATGCCCTTTAGGTTCCACTTATGGGAAAGTGAAGAAAAACTTGGCCATCTCTCAGCATCCTGTTGATGTGTAGATGTGGAGATCAGCTCAGGCTGTTGGCAGGAAAAATAATGTCCAATTAAACACTGGCAGATTAAGTAATTTGAGAGCAGGGTGAGGATGGGCACAGGGGAGCCCCAAGGGACAGTGCTGTGTCTCCTGCGTGTGCAGTGGGCGTTACTTCCACTCCAGGCCTGGAGGATCAAGGTGCAGCAGTGGTGGCTGAGCCTGGAGACAGGCCGGTGTCCATAAGAGCTGCTGCCTTCTCCCTGGGCATAGTCACTGCGGGCAGGGTCATCCTAGAGCTTGAACTAAGTTACAGCTTTCAGCCAAGCAGACTGTAAGTTTGAGGCCAACCGGGACAGCTTAGCAGAGACGTTGTTTCAAAATTTTAACAGGCAGGGGAGGAGTCTTGCAATGTTCCCTGGCTCAGCCCTCAGTACTGCAGAGAGAGGCTTACAGCTTTTATTTTTGCTTTATTTCATGGGCTAGGATCTCTAGTACAGTGTTGGAGTGAGGAATGGGCATCCTCACATTGTTCAGATATTAGGGAACATTTACTTTTCACTCTTTAAGTCTGCTGTGCTGTGTTTGGTATGTGCTGTTTATCAGTATCCAAAAAAGTCCCTTTTCCTAATTTGCAGAAGCTTTCATACATAATGTGGAATTTTGTCAAATAATTTTGGTTAGAAGACATGATTTTTATTCTATTCACATGCTGGGAATTACTGAGTTTCTAATCAATGTTATGTGTTCAACATACCCTTTCTTGATCTTTATCTGTTATAGTTTTATATTTTTTAAATTCAGGTGGTTGCTAATGTCTTAGTAATGCTTTTTGCCACTATATTCATAAAAAATACTAAATTAGCAGGCTGGTGAGATAGCTCAGCAGACTAAAGTGCCTGCTTAGGCAAGTTAGGAAAGTACAGGGACCGTAGTTTGGTCCCCGGCACCACATGCCACGTCAGCCCCGCTCCCAGGGCTGGGAAGGCGGAAAGCAGGATGAGCACCATGAGTCCAAGCTGCGTAGTGAGACCCTGCAACAACCAAATAATACATATACACACATACACACATATATACACTAAATTATCAATTTTTTAAGCTCTAAAAAAAAAATTTTTAACAACAGATTAAAAAAACAACAAATGCTTTACAATAAAAGAGACAGTCATATGTATATGAAATTTTCGAACAGTCACTGGCATTCTATTAACTGTAATACAGTGGCATTAATAACATATCCCATTTTTTTGTACTCATTCTACTTATTAATTTTGAACTGGCCAGACTGAACTTGGGGACCAAGTGGCAAAATCACAACTTTATTTTAATAACGAGTACTGTAGATTTGCAAGTACTTATTAAGATTATTTGAAATATAGTTTTCTAATTCTAAAAGTTGATATGCTAAATGAATGCAAATTAGTGTATTATTTTACTTTTAGTTAAATATTATGGAAAAATTATGTGTTTGTGATACCATAAAGCACTCACAAAGACAGATCTTAAATTTAGAAGTCTAAAACTGTGAAGGCAATATTTTAAATACAAAAGTCCATACTCTTCCATAATAAATGATTTTCAAAATATAAAACTTACTGGAACTAATTCTATTCAGAATATGTTCTGTTTAATATCAGGTGTCCAGGCTGAATAAATGGATATTCTTTCACTTTAAAAATTTTTAAGAAAGTCTAGATTGTGAATTTAAAAGAGAATGGTTCCTAAAAGTGTCTTTGAGGGGCCAGGGAGATGGCTCAGTAGGTTAAGTGCTTCCCTGGCAAGCACAAGGGCCCGAATTCAGTCCCTGGTTCCGCCAAAAAAGAAAGCCTAAAAGTGTCTTTGAAAGTATAATTTAACACATATGCTGCTGTCCTGAGCACACCAGTCGAATACTCAGTCAGAATGTACCGCCTCCTCTTTGCCACTTAAATATTGTTAGCTGACACCCTGTACCAGGTGAGCGCCTCTTCACTGAGAAAATAACATTCCAAAACATCTGTGATACCAACAGAAGAACCAGATAATCTGCAGCTAGCTGTTTCTTAAGTGTGAGTTAAATTATGATTTATTAAAAAAAAAAAAGTACCAGCAGCTTAAACTAGAAATCAAAATTTTTTAAAAAGAAAACTCAATTATAGCCCCCCCCAAAAAAAAAATTCATGAAGACATGAAATCATGTTGCTCATAACAGAAATTTGAAAATAAATTTGAGGGTTTTAAGAGTCTGGAACCACTGGCTTGCCGTCTTCTGGAGCCTGCCTAGCTGAGTGAAAACGTCAGGCAGAAGCCCGGGGTGGCTGCCTTTGGACTGGGCCCTGGAGCCCCCAGGACGGGAGTGTGAGAGTCCAGAAAGGAAACCCGGGTGGGCGAGGGGTGCTGCGCTTTCTTTTAAGGTACCGAGAAAAGCCACAGCGTGTGCGAAGGCAGTGCTTTAACTCTGTTCACTTAGGAAACCAACCTGCTTTCTGATCTTCTTTGACACAGTTTCCAAGGACTTCTGTGATTCAGAACAAGTCCTAATTGGTCTCTATTGCTTCTTTTCTATTGAGCCTGTAGGGCAGATGTTGTTTCCAGAGATGATACATTCTGTGTTGGCTTTTATTTACTTATTTATTTATTTAGTCTTTGAGACAGGGTCTCCCTGTGCAGTTCCGGGTGGCCTGGAGCACACTTGTAGCCCAGGCTGATCTCAAACTCAAAGCCATCCTCCTGCCTCAGCCTTCCAAGTGCTGGGATTGTGGGCATGTGCCGACGCCCTCAGCTCTGTATTGGCCTTTCATTTCTCTGGCTTGGTGAGGAAATCATACGCCTGTCTTGCCCCCTGACACTTATTTCCGTTTTGTTACCAATTCCCTTTGGTGAATAAACTGATTGATGAGTTTCCCATCTCCTGTCGCATTTGGAAGAGCAAATACTTGTTCAAGTTTTGCAACTAGGGACATGTTACACTTCCGCAAAGCCAGGCTTGCTTGGTCCATTGTAATGGAAGCAAGTCAGGATCTCTAAATATAAGACCCAATGCTATTATAGGCTACTGGACTCTTTTAGAATATTTTGCTGAGTTTACACACCTATAATATTCAATAACGGAACTTAGAAATAATGGGGTATACCGATGAATGTCCATTTTGTATCTGTGTATTCAAAGAGGTTGGGATAGATATATAGTTGCATTCTCTTAATGAATAGAATGATTTGTTCTAATGGTGTTTGTAAATAGGATCACAAGTCCGCATCTTGTACAGCAATTAACCACTAAGAAGAATATATGCAGTGTATTATTTGTTGAAACTGTCCTTCCGATATGATTTGAAACTGTCTCATTGCTATCTGTTTGTCAATAAAACTTTGAAAAAAAAAAAAGTCAGGATCTCCTTGCACGTGATGTTGTCCAGGCTGTTCTGACCAGGGCAGGTCTTCCTCTCCCAACTTGTAGGCCACCTCTGACTAGTCCCCGCAGGCAGAACCTGTGAGGAGGCCACCTCCCTTGCACTGGTCTCTCCTGGTTGAGTGAATATTGAGCACAGATCTTGGTCTTCGAGGTTTTTAACTTGAGTCATGGAGGTAGCATTCTTAAAGAGGCTTTATCCCAAACGAAATAGGTTATAGATTTTTGTAATCTTTGATTTGGGCTATAAAATGAGCTACAGGATTTCCTACCCCTTCAGTTCTTAGTTTGTATAAAGTTGGCATTATTTAGTCATTAAATGTTTGATAAAACTTGAATGAAGCCATCTGGACCTGAAATTCTCTCAGTGGAGAGCTCTAAATAATGAATTCAGGGGCAGGGATTTGGCTCAGCAGCACAAGTGTCTACCGGGCAAGCACGAGGTCCTGAGTTTGATTCCTGGTACCAAAAAATAATGAATTCCATTTCTTTGATAGGAGATTATGCCACTTTTTCACTTGAGGTTTTTTTTTTTTTCAGATCTAGAATTTATTTATTTGTTGTTTTAAATCTCTACTAATTCCATTGTGTCTTTCTGCTGCTTTTTCTTTTATGAGGGTTGCATTTTCCTGCTTCCTTACAAGTCTAGTGGTTTTGAGCATGTGTGCTGTACACTGTGTGTATGAACATCAACTGCCTAGATTTTGTGTCTGCCTTATAGTGTTGAATTTCATTCCAGTAGGCAGCAAATTTACACGGCAGTCAGCGTATTGTTTTGTTAGAGTGGGTTTTATGGCTCTTATTCTTAGGATGAGGTTACTCCTACTGCTCAGTGTCACAAGGAATAGCCAGCTTGACCTCTGCCCTCGGGCCAGACATTTTGCTGCTCTCCAAGCTCTGGTGTGTGTGCAGCACATACTTAAGGAACACGTTCTCTTTCGTAGGTGTGGTGCGCTAGAAACTGGTCAGGTAATGTCCAGCTCCTCTCTGGAGCCTGTGCACGTGAGCTGGTTGGGAAAACCGACTTTCCCCGCTGAGGTCAAGGATCATCAGGTGGGAGATGATCCTGGATTATGCGGACGGGCCTTGAACATACCATCCATTTCCTCTTGTGATAGCCCTTTCTCTGATACTGGATGGAGTGCCTGGAGCTGGGCAGCTTCAGAAAGTCGGAGCTCTTTAGCTCACAGTTGGGGAGGTTTAGGTATGTGACCCAGGCTTCAGCTTTGCCCTTATTGTGTTTTGGCAAAACCCTCATGAAGGGCAGTGTGTGAGGTTGAGGAGGAGGAAACATCTTCAGATAGGAAGCCAGCAGGCAGGATTCAGGCTCCAACCTTAAGAACAACTCACCAAAACCAGCATTCCCTCCCAGGGAAATGACCTCCTCTGACCTGAGAACTTCACACGTTCCACATCCCAGAGATCCCATCTGTTATGGTTTGTGTCTAGTTGTCCCCCTAAAGCCTCATGCGTTCATAGGGCAGACTTCTGGAGTTTGTGATGAACTCATGCTCCGCTGGGATTATGGATGTGAGTGCTGCTGGGATTATAGATGTGAGTACTCCACCCAGCCGGGGGCAGACAGCCTGAATGCAGCTTAAGGGAGACAGACTTTCTCTCTGTAGTCATTTGTTGCTGCTGCTCCTCCCTTTTGCTCTTGCTGTCTCGCTCTTTGCCACCATCATGAAAGGTTGCTGTCTGCCGTGTGCCGCTCTGCCTTGGAGCCAGCTGAGTATGGACCAGAACCTCCAGTAACTGAGCTAAATAAACCTCTCCTTCCTTCGTTTTGGGTGGGGTATTTGCCCCAGCAAGAGTAACTGAGACACCTTCACTTGTCACGTGGGCTGGCTGGGGACCAACCTTGCAACACCGGGGACAAACCAGAGCACTTTGTAAGAAGGAAGATAAGAGATTTGATATGCAGAGAAGGAGAGCGTGGGGACCAAGAGCACAGAGGACTGGAGCGCGGTCATCCCAAGGCAGGTGGCGCTGACTGCCACCCCAGGAGCTGCAGAAGCTCAGCGCAGATCCTCTGCTGAGCCCTCTGCAGAGCCTGCACTCTGCCAACCTCACGCTAGCCCTTCTCACTCCCAGAACAGTGGGAGCATGTGTTTCTGATAGGTTAAGCCAGCAGCTTTCGATAATTTGCCTGTGTTCTAGTTCTGCTCGTCTAGTTTTGCGGTGTTTCTGTAATAAATTTTTCTCTAACTTGTCCAGGGCCAGGCTTCATGTTTATAAAAACACTCGAACTGAGATACCCTGTGAGGGATGCCCAGACCTCTCCTGAGTTGTTGTTGTGTTCCTGAATATGGAATCAGAGCATGGGATGGGTATAAATTTTAAATAATGTTCTTTACTTTAGAAACTTCAAGTTTATTTTAAAGTTTATTTTCTTTAGCTTTTCTGTAAGTATTTAGACACAGTGTTTAGAAGAGGTTGTACCACCCATCTTTAGCTTTTCTCCCCTAACGTCTTTGTGGACCAAATTAATAAATTGTAGTTCTAACCCGGGCTTATCAATCTTACTGTATTTGCTCTTGATCCTACTGAGCAGCATGGGATGAATTTTTCATTCCAAGTCTTGACTTTTACCTCTTCTGTTTGTGTAAGTTGACACTGTTAATGCAGGTTTATTTTCCTGTTTAGGAGTTTCATAATAGAAGAGCAGAGTTTCTTGTTATGTGAAGATCTGCTCTATGGAAGAATGTCATTCAGAGGATTCAATCCTGAAGTTGAGGTATTAAATATAATTGCTTCAAATTTTAGAATTTTTCCAATTGAATTTTTTTCTTCCAGTAATTAGGTTTAGGTTTCTCTGCACCAGGCACCATTTCCCCTCGTTATATAGAAAATAGCAAGTCTTGAAATACTGCCATAGCTATTTAAAGAAATTGCAGGCGCTGCAGTCTAGTTTTATGGAAGAGGCGAGCAGATAGTTTAATACAGCAGTATACAAACTCTAACGGTGCCTTTGTTAGAGTCTCAGCTAGAGTCTTTTATAGGAATGTCAAGATTTTATTCATATGATGATGTTATGAAAAGTTATTTTCTGGCATCCGTAAATGTATCTTTTCTAATGGAAAAATGTTACTTATAATTGTGAAATTTGACTTTTTAATAGACAGGTTTAATCTAAGCTTATAAATAAATTTTTAAGTGAGTCTTTTAAAAGTATTTTTAAAAATGAATACTGTGTAACTTAGCTGTTGGTTAAAATTGCCTGCTGTAGGTTTGCAGAGAAGCAGGCCTTTACTTAACGCATTTATTAGGTGAGATCTAAAATGACAGTGAATGTTTAAATTTTTAAAATTCGTCAGTGTAAAGGACACATTGTCATTTGTCCTGCTCAGGATACCCCCTTCCTTGCCACACACATGTCCCACCCTTCTTGCCACTTTGGAAGCGGTTCTGGAAGTCCCCCTGCCTGGGTGCCTTTAGCCGCCCTGTTGTGGCTGCCTCAGTGTCCTGGATTAATTCAAAGCATTTCCCTTCTGAGGATGTGGGCTTTGGGAAAGCCACAAGTTGCAGTGTGGAATATGGGGATGCGGCAGGAAGACACATGGCGCTGTGAGCCTGCTCTTGTGTAGCTGGCCCTCGGCCGTGGTGCTCACCTTACTTTTGATCAGACCTTGTGTGAATGTGAGAAAGGACTTCCTGGACTGCTTCAGAAAGTGCAAAGGTCAACAGGATGAATGTGTTCAATAAGAAATATTTTGAGGGGGCTGGGGAGATGGTTCAGTGGGCCTGAGTTCAATCCCCAGTT